AGCCACGTCCCGAACCTCGGTCTGAACTCGGGTCTATTTTTACTACTATCATTTGTACTGCATGCTCTTACTTTGTCGGCTACGATTGAGGGTATGCAGAATAAGCGAATGCAGTGTTCACCTAGGTGACCTGGTTGCGGGACCAGTTATGAACCTTCCGTTTTGCCCCCGCATCAGGAATCCGCGAAAGGACAAGCGGTGAACATCCTGATATAGTCTAGGTCCGGGGTCGGCAAACCATGGCTCGCGAGCTAGGTGTGGTTCTTTTGATGATTGCGTCTGGCTCTGCCAGATAAAATTGAAATTATAAAATTCAGATTTTGTGATTTTGGTTCCTCCATGAAGAAATCCGGAGGCCTATTATACTCACACTTCAGTGAATTTAATCGTTAAATATATTATATGGCTCTCACTGAAATATATTTTCAAATACTTGCTTTCTTGTCTCTCTGAGTCAAAAAGGTTGCCGACCTCTGGTCTAGGTGCTCGGTTCTTGCGATCCATGATTACACTCCGTCGCCTTGTCACTAATAATTTTATTCCTGCGCGGTGCCAGCCTAACTGCGGGGTCTTTTGCGTGAACAGGGACAGCTCTGAATCCCTTTAATGCCAGAGCTGACGTTCTCGTCTTTTGACAATTGACGAGGCGTTGGTCGGACAAAGCAGGATCAATGACAGACTTCCTGCTAACGTCGTGACCCACACACGGTCGCCATTTTCTCTCTGACCAGTTGTGGCCAGGTCGTACAGAGCTGCAACTTGGGTTTGTGTGTTTTCCTATGTGACTGTTGATGCGTGCACGTTGTCAGAGAAGTTGTCGGTGTCCCCAGTGTTAGCGCCAAATCTACTGTTGGAGCTGCACAAGAGGGCATTTATGGCCGGGTCTAGTGCAGACTTGCAAGCTCATAGTGTTAAGCTAAGCTCCCTTCACTGGCGGCACTTCAAAGAATGCTTATTGTCGATTTCACGTTTGCATGACGTTCGTAAGCACTAGAGCGCTTAGGCGAGTTCACCGGAACCCCCAGGTAATGTAGACGGCTTTGCGCTGAATTCCAGGAAGGTTACTTACTCCTCTGTTCTAAGCCCCCAAAAGTAATCATAAACGAACCTTCACTCTAACCCTCATCTACCTGGAATTTTGCGCAACATCTCCCGTATTATGGCTGGTTTCTATTACTTTATCTTGCTCCTAGGTGTTTTGTATATACTTATGAGAGCCATTAGAGGGCGAGGGGAAAACGCTTTATTTTGAAAATATAATTCCAAAATTGTCAACTAAAACGTCCTCCGTTGTACAAGGAATCCGATCAGGCGCAAAAACTCAACACCGGGGAAATTAAAAGTAATCCATGATAGCCAATGACTGCACTTTTCGACATTGTGGATAAATTTCCTTGGAAAAGTCGTCAAATATAGGCCAAATTGGACTGCTTTCAAAACGGTGCTAGCGTCGTGACCTCGTGCACTCATGACTTCGTTGTAGTTCAAATAAACAAAGCGGGATAAAAATCAATTTATCATAGGCGAAGTTGACCAACCGACGTATATATAAGAAATGTTTACATTGGAATGGAGGAAGAGATGGGGGGAGGAGTAAGGAAATTGCGGCTCAATTTGAAAAACCCTCCATTATGTTTAGAGGTCCTAAATCCTACGTCTGAAGACCTCGTCTTTTCAAAAAAGTAGTCCGCTAGTTTGTCCGTTGCAGGCCATGAGCA